CAGTCACAAGTCGAGTTTTCAACTCTTGGAATGCTGATTCCCTTTGGTCAGTCCAGTCAAATGATATCCCCTTCTGAGTCAACTGTGTCAGTGGTAAGGCAATTTTGGAGAAGTTTTTGACAAATCTTCTGTAATACCCGGCTAACCCCAAAAAGCTTCGGACTTCTGTAATATTTGTTGGTCTAGGCCAATTTACCACGGCTTCAACTTTCTGTGGGTCAACTGAAATGCCATCTCTACTAATAACATGTCCCAAAAACATAACATGATCAAGCCAAAATTCACATTTAGACAGTTTAGCATACAGTTTCTGTTCTCTTAAGGTCTGTAAGGCAAGTCTCAGATGATGTTCATGTTCTTCTCTACTTTTAGAATAAATCAGAATGTCGTCTATAAATACAACAATAAAGTCATCGATGAATGGTTTAAAAATTTTGTTCATAAGGTCCATAAATGCAGCAGGTGCATTGGTAACTCCAGAAGGCATAACTAGGAATTCGTAATGTCCATACCTCGTTCTAAAAGCAGTTTTGTCAATGTCCTCTGGTTTAACTTTCAGTTGATGATATCCAGATCTGAGATCAATCTTAGAGAACACTTGAGCACCCTGTAACTGATCAAATAAGTCATCAATACGCGGCAATGGATATTTATTTTTCACAGTCACCTTGTTCAGTTCGCGGTAGTCGATACAAAGTCTCAGTGAGCCGTCTTTCTTTTTCACAAATAAGACTGGCACGCCCCATGGCGAAGTACTGTGCCTGATGAACTTCTTATCTAACAGTTCTTGCAGTTACACTTTCAATTCTTTCAGTTCAATCGGAGCCATTCGGTAAAGAGCTTTAGATACTGGCTGTGTGCCCGAAATCACATCAACGGTGAACTCAATCTCCCTGTCAATCAAATCCCCTGGCAGACCATCTAGAAAAACATCTGGGAATTCTCTGACTATAGGAATATTGTTCACATCAGTATTATCATCAGTAGGTACGGCCAATACAGAACATAGGTACCCTTTACACCTCTTTCTAATCAGTTTACAAGCTTTCATAGATGAAATCAGATATGGGGGAGGTACTACTCCTACTCCGTTAAATACAAATTCGAGCAGTCCGGGTGGGCGGAAAACTATTTGCTTCGTTACACAGTCTATGGTAGCATGATATTTCGTTAACCAGTCCATCCCCAATATTACATCAAAATGGTCAATGTTCAATGGCAGTAAATCAATATACAAATGTGCCTTTCCAACAATAATTTCATATGTAGGGTACATATAAGCACAAGTCACAGATCCCCCAACAGGTGAAGATACAGCTAACAAGTAATTCATGGGTTCCAATGGTCTATTCAATTTTCGCGAAAAAGCATGCGATACATATGAATGTGTAGACCCCGAATTAATCAGTACATAAGCATTTTGAGTACAAATTGAGAGGATACCTGACACGACGGTCTCGGTATTTTGTACGTCTCCCGGTACGAGTGCGAACACTTGGCCTTGCCTCATAGGCTCTTTTTCAGTAGCTTTAGGGTTGGGTTTCGGTGGAGCAGTTGATGCTACGGCGCTTGGTGCAGCTTTACTATTGCCCTGAGGAATGGAAGGGCAATCTTTGACCATGTGGCCCACCTTGCCATACCTGTAACAAGCAACCTCAAAGTTTATAACAAACCCCTTTGTGTTTCTTACCACATTCAGAACAGGGCAGTATGGAACCACTTCCCAGACTAGAGCTGGTGGTTGACCCTGAGTTTTGCTTTTTGATCAGTGGGTTGTTTCTGCCTTTCTTGAATTTAAAACCCCGTTTCTTCCCGCACCACTCAGTTGCGGGTGTTTCAGTCTGTTTCAAAGCTTCGATATTTGCTTCGGCCATAATGGCTCGGTCAAGAACATCCACATATTTCAGTAACTTTAGCACATTGATTCTGTCCAGTATTTCTACATTGAGGCCACCTTCAAACTTCCTGGCCTTCTTGTAGTCGGTGTCCACCATGTGTGGTGCATATCTAGCAAGTTCGGTGAACTTTGTTTCATATTCTGCGACAGACATGGTGCCTTGTTTCAGTTGTTCAAATTCAGTCACTTTTCTGTCCCTGACACACTGTGGGAAGTATTTCTCGAAGAAGGCTCCCTTAAACTAAGCCCAATCCATAGCAATATTGGTGTCACAGACCAGCATCTACCACCTTCTAGCTTCTTCTTGTAAGGTGAAGGTAGCTAGCAACACTTTATGTGCTTCAGAGCACGGAAACACTTCAAGCAATTTTTCTGTTTCAAGAACCCAAGCTTCAGCCTTTAAGGGTTCAAGGCCTCCCTGAAAGGATGGCGGTTTCATCTTACTAAATTTATGTATCAGAGCTATGATATCATCATTAATAGGTGGCTCTGGTTGTACTGGAGGAGGTGGGGGCTGTTGGTTCTGTTGTTGTTCTAGTCTTTCAGTTAGTAGTTCCACCATTCTCTCAAACCTCGCCATTCTTGCCTCAGAGGATTCAGTTTCATCAACATTTCTTGCGTTGTTCATCTCACTATAGGCAGTTATAACAATTATAAACATAGGCAGTTGCATACTTAGATAGATTATCACATTAACAGTTATATTCATGTCTTAGCCACACACACTTATCATGCTCATGTAATGCCCTAATCACTTTTCTAGGACATCCTATAGCTCATTTGGACACGTGTGTGCGGTATAACTCGTGGTTAAGTATCGCTCTAATACCACTCTGTCACGATCCAAACCCGCCCCTATGGGTTTAGCACCGTAACCGGCCAGTAATCCGTGATTACCGAAGGCCTGCTTAACAGTCAAACAATAATATAGAGTACATGGGCATGGCGGAAGCCAAAACAGTAAATAGACAATGTCCAATGAGCTGTGACAGTCTGTATGCAAAAAGACTTTTTATATAGATTCACATTCAGAAACAAAATAGTATGTACAATATATACAATCATTCAAGACAGAGACTTAATCCCTATTAGAACAGTACAGTACAGTAACATTTAGTTTATACAGATTATAAACAAAAAGGGGAAATCTAAAACTCCCAAGCAGCCTCAGCTTGAACGGATCAAGAACCTCGAAGTGAGGCACAAAGGTTGGCTTGACAAAACTGGAGTTTACCCTGACGCTTCTAGCAACGGTCCGGTGCCTGTACATCTACATATATATATGAGCAGTGAGCTAAAGCCCAATGAATAACGTAATGCGTAAAGAGGTTAAGAATGAGTGTCCTTTTAGTATTGAAAACAGTCAATTGATTCAGTATATCAGTCATTTAGTCATAACAGTCATATGTGGTACATCCAATAGCAGAACAATACAGTAAACAGTAGGTCTTGAAAGACCGAACAAGCAATGATGGCCATCAGTAATGGTTCCAAACATGGGAACCGACAGAGATCTCTGTAACAGTAGCAGTAACAATAACAGTAACAGTAATTGCTAAGGATGCCATAATACAGTTTAGAATAAAGAACAAACATTCATTCAGTTAACAGTAAACAATTCAATTGATCATTCAGAAAATATTCATTTTCGAACATATCTTTACAACATTGTTACTCATAGAGTTATGGGATACAGATAAGCTAGTACGCGTCCTTGGTTGCCAACCCTACACAGTTACAGAGTGAACACACACTAAGCTACACAGTTGGGAAAAAATAGTAACTTAATCCCTAGTTTGACTCGGTGTGGTTCTACATCAATATCCTCATTAAGATGTCTTAAATTAGGCCTAGGAATGCCTAGGATGGAATGAGGATGCAAAGATGTACTTTAAAAATATTTTCAGAAAATAGAGTTCCCGTTCGAGCGTCACTTACCCCGCTCGAGCGGATATGCAAACAAAAGTCTCCGCTCGAGCGTAAGATTTCCCGCTCGAGTGGACTGCAAAAGTACTGGATGTATGAAAATCACGCTCGATTGGGCGCTCGACACCCGCTGGAGCCTGTGACACAAGTTCTCGCTCAAGCGTCCAATACCCTGCTCGAGCGGACTGCAAAACAGTGCAAAGTGCTGGGAGCACGAATTTCACGCTCGAGCGCCAGTCACTCCGCTCAAGCGTGAGTCCAAAATCTGGAAATTCCAAATTCGAACCTCAAGCTCAAAACCAAGTTTCAATGTACCAAATTCGATCCATTTGGGCTAATTTTCTGGAAAACACTTCAAAACCCATAGTATAACATGTTTCAAAGATCAATTTGAGAAATCAAAGCCCAAAGGTAGTTCAATTAAATCCAAGTTCAAATCAATTTTCATGAACATAACTCAAACATGACATGCATGCGTTCAAACCAATTCAAAGCTTCAATTACATGCTCTAATGAGCTAATTCTCCAGAAACAAGATAAATTCATGGTCCAATGCAAAAATATGGACATGCATGAGGAATTTCATGAACAATAACTTCAAAACTCAAGAATGGCAACATGCATGCATGATTTGAGCTACAATTCAACATGCTAGAACCAAATCATGACTTAGCTCTTCAATATGACATGAACCATGCAAGAACCAACTTAAAGACACAATTAAGAGGTTGAATTCCTTGCCTAAGTTTTCATTTTAAGGTATGGAAGTTCTATTCTTGCAATCTTCCTACAATTTCTTCAAGTCTCCAAGCAAATATGAGATGAAATCAATCTCTCTCTCCTATCTCTCTCTCTAGTCGGCTATAGCAAGGAAAAATGGCTGAGCAAATGTGTGTCTAAGTGCATTCAAGCCTCACTATGTTTGGTGTAGTGGCCCACTAGGATGGCATGTTGGTAATTAAGCCAACTATTGCAATTTATCCTTATTTAATCTAATTAAATCATACCAAATCACATTTCAAATAAATATGCCACAAAATCACATGAATTATGATTAACACATATCACTAATCAATTTCAGATTCGGTTGCCGATAAGGCCTTCAATTTGCAGTTTAAAGCATAAAACACGAACAAATAATTTAACAGTCAACAGATAGATATGCATTCAAACTAGCACAATCAATCAATCAGTTTAGTGATTTCAGTTAATTCAGTCAATTATCATAATCAGTCTCAGTTTAACAGTGATTAGTGGTTTATCAGTAAACAGTGGTGAGGGTTGTCACAGGAGCCAAGTTCTAGAATTGCTGAGATCTGCCTCGGGTTGGCCTCTATTCCACGATAGTTGACAATATAGCCGAGAAACTTGCCGAATCCGATGCCGAATGCACATTTCGCGGCGTTCAATTTCATTTTGTACTTTCGTAGAATGCTGAAGGTTTCTGCTAAATCGGCTAGATGAGCGTGCTTTTCCTTGGATTTCACCACCGTTTCATTGATGTATACTTCTATGGTGTGGCCTAGTTGTTCCATGAACATAGTGGTAACCAATCTTTGGTAAGTTGCCCCCGTATTCTTCAGCCCGAAGGACATGACCTTGTAGCAATAGATTCCCCTTGGGGTGAGGAATGCGGTCTTTTCCTGATCCTTCGGATGCATGACAATTTGGTGATAACCTCTGTAGGTGTCCAAGAAACTTATACGTTGATGATATACCGTTGCGTCTACAAGTTGGTCGATTCTGGGAAGAAGAAAACAATCCTTAGGACAAGCCTTGTTCAAATTCATAAAATCTACACAGACACGCCAAGATCCACTCTTCTTCTTTACAACCACAGTATTGGACAACCAAGTGGGGTAAGTTACTTCACGAATTGCCACGGCATCAAGCAATTTGTCAACTTCATTAACAATAGCCGATGCATGCTCCGCGGCTGACCGTCAACTTTTCTAAATGATTGGTTTGAATTTTGGATCAACGTTTAAACGATGCTAAGCCACGCCTGGATCCACCTCCGACATTTTGTATGGTATCTATGCAAACACGTCGAGATTGTCGAGTAAGAAGGAAACCAAATCATGTCTGTCAAATTCATTCAGGGAAATGTCCATAATGAAGAATTTGTTAGGCTCCCATTGATTTCGATCCGGTCAAGATCTTCAGTTGCCTTTTTGCTGGGGGTTTTCTTAATGTCCTCGAGGCTCTCTCGATCCAGTATTTCAATCGAGTTCACTTCCAGCTTCTTTGGCTTCTTTACGGCAACAATGAGATCGAATGGTTATGTCGATTTCTGAGAACCCCGAATTTGCTCGATGCCGTACTCAGTTAGAAAGCGGAGAAGTTGATAGTAGATGCTCAGCACGGTTTGCATAGTATGCAACCAAGTCCTTCCCATAATGAGATTGTATGGTGACAGGAGTTTTACGACCAGAAATTCTACGTCTATTGATCTGGTACCTGCCCGTACTGGTAATGTGATCTTACTTAAGGGATATTCTGGGTTAGCGTTGAAGCCGAATAATGGGTAATCGGCCAATAACAGATTCAAATTAGTGAAGCCGAGTTTCACGAACGTCTTGTAATACATTATTTCTGAGGTGCTTCCCTGATCGATGAGAACACGCTCAACTGTGAATCTGTTCACGCGTAGCTCGATGATAAGAGGATCAGTGTGGGGGATAGTTTTTTCATATAGGTTGGTGTCATCAAAGCTAATCTTGCCAATTTCATGGGGATGTTTGGCTGGTGTGATTGGCTTGGGCAGGCTAGGTTACAACTGAATTGTATGCAGCTCGGCTGACTACAGTAGGCTGTATATCATGTAGATCACACCAAGTGGGGGTGAATCCGTCCGTAGGGCTACTGTGTTCGATGGATTTTTTTTTCGGATGTGTTGCGCCGGCCGACCGTCTTGTACCAATTCCTCCAGGTGGTCCTTTAGTGCATAACAACTATCAGTATCATGGCCATGGTCCTTGTGATATTCGCACCGCTTATCCGTTCTCCTTGTATCAGAAGGCCTCATCATCTTGGACGGCCATTTAAAGAATGGAAGATGTTAGACTTTGGACAAGATCTTACTGACCGGCTCCACCAATTCCGTATACTTCTTGTCTGAATGTCTCGTGCCCCTGTTATCCACTTGATATTGTTCGTTTGAACGATACGAACATTGGTTGCTTGAACAGCGCAAATCGAGCTGGTTGTCTCGTTTAGCCCGAGTCCGAGGTTTGGGGCTCCTTAATGGCACGATGCTTATCAGCTGAACCAAACCAGATGGAGCCAATTTAATGGCTTTCTGTCCAACCTTGACGCGTAGGGCATCGTCTTTCACCTTATAATATTCTTCAACTTTCTTCATTAGCACCCAAACTATTTTCGAAGGTCGTCTGGTCAATGAACTGCGGAGAGGACTATCATGATGTAATCTCATCTTAAAAGTGGTAATGACCATGGAATTATTGCAGGCATCATCCACCAAGTTGAAACATTCCTAATAATGCGCTGAATACTCACGGAGGATATCTTCTAGTTTAATTTGCATTGCCCAGAGAGAGTTGGCTTGCTTTGGCTGAACTTTGTTGGTAATGAATCTTGCCCTGAAGGATTTTTGGAGTTGATGAAAGCATCTTATTGACGCCGACTCCAGTTTATAGTACTAGCTCACGGCCAACGGTCCTAGGCTGCTTGGAAACATTCGACACATAAGGGCTTCATCATCAGCATGCAACGTCATCGCTTGTTTATAATGACGAATATGGTCAATGGGATCTAATTTTTCGTCGTATGGGGTGAATGTTGGTGCTTTGAACTTTTTAGGCAGCACTGCCTTTGCAATGCGTCATACAAAAGGGTCGTATCTATCCTCTTCATCCAAATTATCACTTTCTTTCTCCTGCTTGTGTCGTACATGTGGACTTCCTTCGGATGAGCTAGATACATCTACTCGCCCATTCTTTTTGGGTTCCTGAGATGGTGAGTCGGAATCACTGCCCTTATTATGTTTCTGAAGTTATCGTCGTCAATCATCTTTCTTTTTTTCAGAGGATCGACCCCGGTCATGGCGTGTGGCCTATTGGGATTTGACTAACTCCACGGCCAATTCCTTACGCAGACGTTCGTTCTCAACAATCATATCTTCTAGACGCTGTTCATTTAGTTTTGCTTGATCCATGATTGTTTGCACAGTTTTCTGCACAGAAATTGAGTGAGAAGTTTGAGCTACTGGGTCGAAGTTCAAGGCCCGTTGCGCGGTGATATTCTCCGGTCCAAGCATGTTTCTTGGAGTAATGGCATCTCTTGGTGTAACATCGTCAGCAACTATCGAAGGATCTTCTGTCACGCCTGCTATGGACGCACTTAAGCATTCCCACAGACGGCGCCAATTGTGGTGATGTGGTTTGGAAATATTCCAGAATCCAGTCAAATGTCCCTAATCCTCTGATTGCTACCTGAAAAAGAAATGAACACTTCGATCGGGGGTGCCGGAATTAGCACTTTGACGGATAAGTTAGTATTCTCTCTCTAGTTTACTTCTATTTCAAGTTATTCCGTTTATTCTCACATACCTTCCTTTTAGATAATGTTCCTCATTTTGTAATGCTCTTTTAAGGCCCACCTTCTGATTTATGGAAATCCAGCCAAGACAATTGGGCCCTCATTTACACCGTATCACCTTTAACATACTCGGCTATAAAAGTAATCTTACTCGGTCGAGGCGCCCACAGTTAGTCGGCGTTTGAGAGCCGACTTGCAAATGGCTCCAAATTGTAGCATTTTATATTCGGCCAAAGCAGTGAGTAATAACTTTGTAAACCTATGTTCAATGTTAAATATTTTCTAAACATGATGATATGATATGATTTGTTTCCTGAAATACTATTTGAAATTAAATGAATGATGGTCTAATTCTTTGAAATGTATTCATGGCAGCCTTAGCATCATATGATATGCGTCCCTTTATGGGTCATTGGAATGCCTTTATGGCCGTCCCTTTATAGGTCATTGGATTTGTTAACGCTAATGGATGTACCACGTATGATCACATGGAATATATGAACTTCGAACACGAATATGAATTTGAGTATGAATATGAATCTGTTTCTGATCTGAATTTGTTATAGACATCATTTATTAACACCTTTACTCTGTTATTATTCACTGGGCTCCAGCTAACCGTATTATTTATGATGTAGGTGAGCAAGAGTATGACCAGGCTCAGAGTTGATTGCTTGGAGTTCTGTCTACCTGCCAGCCACTATGCCTCCCGAGGAGGTTCCCTTTTGAGAAGTGCTCAAGTCTCGAGTACTCCCCGGGCGTGTGACACCCACGAAACCTAAAATTGACACATCTAACCCGTTTGTTTCAGTGTGTAACCCGTTAATCCAAACGCGATACGTGACCTAGACTTTATCTCAACAATTCATTTATTAACATATAAAAGATTAATAAATTGTGTTATTATTATTATTATTATTACTTATGTTTTCATATTATTGTTGAACGGTGATTGTATAAATAAAATTTGAACAAAAATTAAATTGGATAAATAAGTTTTTTGTGTTAGATCAATTGTGTTGTGTTGTATCGTGGTAAATAGGTTTAGGAGTTAATATTGCCAATCAGGTCTCCCACAGGTCGACATGATTATTAATAGGTCGTGTTTTTGTATATATGACATGTAGGTCGTGTTCATATTCAACCTTTTGCTCCATGAACCTAATATGACACGACACGATACCCACTCCTAATTGATAGTGCGAATGTTCTGTGATGTGAACATTCACTGTCAATGTGAATATTCACAAGTCAATGTGAACATTCACATTGTCAAATATAAATGTTCACATCATCAAATTGCTAAGGCATTAAAAATGTTACGCCTCAGTTTTTTCTTACTTAAATACATTACCAAATTTCTTACAAACATTCATTTCCAAATTATAATTATAGTAATTAGACGCGTTAGATAGAATAAATAAGGTTCTCTCTCCCATTAGGGTATAACCCTAATCCAATCCGAATCTGATTCGATTAACCTGGTCCATTTATACAAATCTGGATTCAAATACCCATTTAATCTGTATTTACGTAGCCCAATTTAAAACGGGTCAGATTCAGATAAATCCAATTTAGTGCATTTGTTTGCCCAATCTGATTACATTGAATTCCAATAAACGAAATCAGATCTCTCATCGAAGAATCAAATCTTTTTCTCTCACCATCTCTTTTATCATCTCTCATCGAAGAATACCTAGATCTGAAAAATCAAATTTCTCTCTCATCATCCAATCGAGTGTTGATGACTGGGCTTCTTCTCTGACTTCGACGAAACAAGCTCAGATTAGGAGAGCTCAAAATCAAACTATTTCAGGTAATTGAATTTCTAAGCTTTCTCTGAATTTTTGGCTTTGATTTTTGTTTTGTTTTTGATTTCTAAGCTTGGGCTTAGGTTCCTCTGGTTTTTCGACGATTGATGTTCTTTGAGTGGATTTAGTGTATTTATTTTGAATTGTTGTTTTAAGGGTTTATGGTTGTGCTCCGTTTGTGTTTGTCATTGTATCTGCTTTTTACTGCCTTGTGCTTGTGTTTCTTCTTTATATAAGAGATCTAGGCTATTTGTTTAAAGAGTAATGCTAGAGATAGCAAATTTTCTATCAAATAAATGAGTAAATGTCTCACATAGATGTGGGGTCCGCAATTTTGTGGACTCCACACCCATGTGAGACCTTTGGTAATTTGTTTGGTAGAAAATTTGGGACCTCTAACATTTTCCTTGTTTAAATGGGAAATCAATTTTGAAACATTTTCTTAAATGTTTTTGAGACTCTATATATTTGTTATTTGATGGGTAGGTTGAAACTTGAAGTTTGGGGCTCTTTTACTATTCATTTTTTGCTTTGATTTGGGCAGCTAAAATTTGTATTTTTAGATGGAAAACTTTTCTGGAAACAACTTTCCATTAAAACAATCAAAAATGACTTGGAAGTTTGAATTTCCATTTTTCTTAAACTATTTTATTAAAGTGGGTATGATGGTTTTGAAAAGCATAGCTTTATTATATCCAGTGAAATCCAAATCATGAAATGAAATATAGCCATGCTATTTTATTTTCAGATTCTAAAAAAAAATAAATTTGTTTCATCCCACTACATATGTTCTTTTTCAAAGTCAATATTGAATGTAATGTGAGTATTTGTTTTTATCATATAAGTGGGATGAATTCAAGCTCACATTAGTGTAACAAATGTGACTAATTTATGGGAAGAATTCAAGAGCCTGCATCAGTTATTTATGTTTGACTTCTTCTGCAGTGCATATTTGAGTTTTTGAGCCAAAGATGTCTTCGGATTATAGCGAACCTATTATTGGTGATGATGTCAAGTTGGATGACGATGTATCTCAAAGACCTACAAAGAGGAGTCGAAAACTATCTTCAAAGGTATGGAATGACTTTGTCAAATTTAAAGGACCTAACGGAAATGACATAGCTAGATGTAAGCATTGCAATAGGAAATTTGTTGGAAAGAGTAGGAAAGAGACTAGTTATTTAAAAAATAATTTTTCGAAGACATGTCCAGTACTTTAAGGACCAAATGACCGCAGGGATGCTAGTAAGATTGCTTCTGAATTGACTCCTAAGGTTGCAACTTTTAAATTCAATCAAGAGAGAAGTCGTATGGATTTTTCTAGGATGGTAATCAAGCATAATTATCCTTTTAACATGTCTGAGCATGAATTTTTTGAAATATTTTGCAATAATCTTCAATCAATGTTCAAACTTGTTTCTCATAACACTGTTAGGGTAGATGTCCTTGATGTTTATGAAATAGAAAATGCCAAGTTATATCAATTTTTGAATGAACTCTCTTCTAAGATCATCTTGACAACTGATATATGGACATCAAACCATCAAAATTTTGCCTATACATGTTTGATTGCCCATTATGTGACTAATGATTGGGAGTTAAAGAAGAAAATCCTTGCTTATAGATGCATTGATTACCCGCATGATGGAGACCATTTGTTTAGCTTTATCAAAGATCTAATTTTGGAGTGGGACATAGATAAGAAGTTGTTTTCAATGGTAGTCGATAATGCAACGAGTAATGATGCCATGGTGAGACTCTTAAAGCAATGGCTAGATGACCAAGGATTACTACATTTGGGTGGACAATTGTTTCATGTGCGTTATAGTGCGCACATATTGAATTTAGTTGTTTAGGATGGTTTGAAGGTGATTGGGAGTCTTATTTTAAAAATCTGAGAAAGTGTGAGATATTTAGGTGTTGCAGTGAATCATGTTAAGTTACATCATAAAAAGAAAGTCCCCATGAATGTTTCTACCAGATGGAACTCCACTTATTTAATGCTTGAAGTTGCATTAGATTTGAAAAGTGCATTCCATCGCTTAAGGCTAATTGACAACCAATATAAGCACAATTCTTCTGAGGATGAATGGAATGTAGCAAATGTGATTTGTGGATGCTTGAAGGTTCTTTTTGATAATACATCTCACTTTAGTGGTACAACTTTTCCTACATCAAATTTTTTTTTCCCGATATTTGTCTTATTCAACTCGAAATGAAAAAATGGGAGCAAAGTGAGTATGATTGCATTCGATTGATGGCTGGTCCAATGAGAGTGAAATTTGAAAAATATGGAAAGAATGTTCTTTGGTGTTAGCAATTGTAGTGGTTCTCTATTCGAGATTTAAAATGGACTTGGTGGAATACTACTTTGGGCTTATTTATGGTGTTGATGCTAATAAGCATATTCAGAGGGTCCGTAATGGTTTTGTTGATCTTTTTTATGAGTATAGGAGTGATTATTCTGATTCTATGAGTTTCATTACACTTGTTTAAGAAAATAGTAGCTCAAGTGGTAGTCAATTGCTTGTCAGTTCTTCAAAACAAGAAAATTTGGTTGGTTTTCATATGTGGTATGCCCAGGAATGTACTTCTAACATTTACACCTATCAAAAATTAGAGGTGGAGCAGTACTTGGAGGAGTAGGTGTTTCCAAGTAACAAGAGTTTCAATATTCCACATTGGTGGAAAGGGAATAAAGCAAAAAAATTTACTTTGGCAAGGATGACTCGTGATGTTTTAAGTGTTCAAGCTACTACAGTTGCATTAGAGGTGGCGTTTAGCATAAGAGGTAGGGTTATTGATGAGAAACGTGCTTTATTACTTCCAGATATTGTGGTGGCCTTGATCACTTGCAATGATTGAATTGAATCAACCAAAAATAGAAGTACGTGAAATATTGAAGTTTTTAAATAATTAGATGTTCTTTAGTTTAGTTCTATAAGTATCTTAATCTCTCATTATTTTGAAATTGTAGATGTAGAAGAATGCTCACATGAGTAGATGGATTGAATTGAATTACTTGGTTTGTCATTTTCATTATGATATGAGAAGTTATCTTAAGTTGGAGAGTAACTCTGTGCTCTGTAGGCTGTAGCCTTGTCACAGGTAGGTCAGTATATTTCTTCCTCTTCTGGGCTTTTCTTTTGCTTCCTAAATAAAGTTCTTTTCTTTCTCCTTTCTCCAAAAAATTATTAATTTTTTTCTGCTCCTGCTATTTCAACTGTAATTTATGGAGTTCAACAATTATCATACTTGTATTGACAGTGATTGTTGTGCATATGATAGTTACATAGTTTGGTTATGCTTTTCATTGCTTACCCACAAAAAAAAATTTAGAGAAACAGAGGGGGAGAGAGAAGGTTTTTTTTTTTCATAAAAAAAGTTTAGACATCTACACTGTGTATGCAAATATTTATATGTGTGGAATTGAGAAAAATAGATGAATTGAATCACTTTGTATGTCATTTGCATTGTGATAGAAGTTATCTACACACCTTCTTCTTTTCTTTTCTTTTTTTCTTTTTTCACTGTCATCTCATTGGAATTACAAGGGCTTGTTTTTGTTTTGTCCTTGAACCCAAGTTCAATTAAACTATTTACTATTTCAATTGTGCAGGACTTCATAATGGTGTTGATGAAGAAGGAGATGAAGAAGTCAGTTAAATGCATACAGAGAAAGTCTAAGACAATTCACTTAGGAGAAGCTTGCGGATAATTTGTCATTAATTACTTTATTTTGTTTTTGTGGTGAAATGTTGGTATAAATGTATAAATTAATTATCAACTATTATAACTGTTTTATTTTTGTCTATGGTTGCCACAGTTTAGCATTGATGAGTTAGATAGCGGAAAAACTATTTAGTGCGTTTGGTTTGAGTTTTCTGAATTAAGTTTTTTGAAAAGTGAGTTTTTTTGTTTTCGTATTCTTTCAGTTTTCGTATTCTTTTATTTTTAGTGAATATTTTTAAAATTTTAAACATTTTTTTACTTTTTTAGATGCACCTTAGTTATATGCATCTAAAAGTAAAAAATTTGTGAAAAAATATTTTAAAAAATTAATAAATACATAAAAATACAAAAAATGTATTGAATTCTTGTATTTTTTTGTGAAAAAATATTTTAAAAAATTAATAAATACATAAAAATACAAAAAATGTATTGAATTCTTGTATTTTTTTTGTATTTTTGGTATATAGTGAATTTTTAAAGATTTTTTTTACGATTTTTTTACTTTTTAAGTGTATTTATGTTAAGTGTGTCTAAAAAGTAAAAAAATTGCTTAAAATATTAAAAAAATTCAATAAAAACAAAAAAAAATACAAAAAATTAGAAAGTAGAATTTTCTGAAAAGTGTTTTCTGAAAAATGAAAACAAGCAAGCTAATTAAGTTTCATGATTTAACTTTGAATGAGTTAGATAAAAAAAATATTAGGTGCATTTTTTTTTTATAAGTTAGATGCTGAATGATTTAGCATTTATTTATTTTTTTTAGAAAAATCATTGAATGTGTTAGATACTGGAAAAAAAAAAAAAAGTTTTGTATAATCTTATGAGTAGTAGAAGTATTCAAAATCTGATGTTACGAACAATTTTTTTTTTATAATTGGTATTTTATTGACTTTATATGGCTTGCTAACCACAGAGAGAGAGAGAGAGAGATTTAAAAAAATCGGATCAGATTGTACGTATCAAATATCCGTTTAAAATGGATCATATCAGATCACGCGAAAATCGGATTTTTAATATTTGGATTCGGATTAATGGTTAATCGGATAAGATTTCGACGGATCCGACTCAAATCCAACCCATTGACAAGCTTACCTCGCATAATTACAATGATAGAAATGTTCTATACAAATGTTCACAATACATGCCTCAAGGCTTATATAAAAGGTTACACGATAATCACATACAATAGAAGGATAATATCCTTATTACAACATTCTAACACTTCATTTACAATTTACACAGTAATAAGTCTTAATGAACTAGGACTTCATGATCTTCAAATCGTTACACCAACTTCATTCTTGTAAAAATGGTTAAACAACATAAGATGAACACTAGGTCTAGTAGGGATCTACAATAATTCCCAACAATTAGATCAATAGATATGTACGATCATGAATGCTATCAGATGATACATACATAATTAATGTGTCCTTTGTATGGAAAATAGATTACATAAATAGATAAGTTTTTCATAAAATCTCACTTGCCATTTCATTGAAACCTCCTTTGTTAACTATTTGTCTTACGAAAATTTAGTCCAGTAGTTCCTTTAAATCTCGTCTCCTCAGATAAAGGTTTTAAGCCTACTTATCATTTACTACTTGTAGTTCTCTTTTCACACTCATTAATTCCCAAAACACCAAACACTTGCATGTTATAACACATTTCACATATGATAGTTATTCTGTTCGATTCGTTTTCCCTCTTGTCTTATTTACACGTTTCGCTTTCTAAATACGATTCTATCCTAACATAATCCACATAATACTAGACTCATGCATAAGTCAACAAATTTCAAATAATTGAGTTACAAGAATTAACTCACAAATAATGTATTCCACCTTACACACTTCAACTTTTACATCAAGCAATTGTCATGATCACATAATGGAATTATCACAAGATTCTTAACAAATATCCACAAGCCAATAACTGGCTTCACCAAGCTATACTAACATAGTTTACCAGGCGCTATTCTGGAAGGAACGCTGGAATCTCTGTCAAGGGCTATGCTTTACTAGTGGCTAGCTGGAAGGAATGTAGAACCTCCATATAGCCCAACAATCCACACGCTTTATTGGAGCTGGTGGCTAGCCAAAAGGAACACAAAACCTCCATATAGCCCAACAATCTACATGCTTTTCTGGGCACTACTCCAAAAGGAAGGTGGAACCTCTTTCAAACACCACGCTTTACCGGTGAATAGCCGAAAGGAAATGGACCCTTTTTCCAAACTTTATTCCACAATTCATCATTTCAATTCTATGTTCACAACACATAACAATTAAAGTAAAATCTACCTTTATGCAAGAACATAATTTGTTCTCCAGAATATTCCCATTTAATTCCATACACATTACATAGTTTATTACACCAATTCTCATTATTCATTTACTATACATGAACCCATTACTCAATGATCATTCTCACCACATTTAATAATCATTGTTTAGACCAAACCTTAACTCAATTTCAAGAATTTAAGGTTAATTGACGAAAACCCCTTGTTTAATTAAAAGTTTAAAACTAGGGTTTGAAAAAAAAATTGGGGCTTTTCATTTTAAAATGTGTAATCATATTTCAATAGCTCAAAACTTCCATAATCAACTTAAAATCATAGGTTATTTATTTTGAGTTAGAAACATTGACATTTCTCTACATGCATTTCAAGAAAATATCTTACAACTTAAGATTTATGTAATAAAAACATACCACCCATCTCTCTATACAAAAATATTAAAGAGAAGCAAAGAAATCCCTACCTTTAGAAGGAGAGGAAGAAACTCAGAAGACCAACTTCAATGAAAACACAATCTGCTCAAATTAATAGAAAGCCCTCGTTGTGCTCATCATTTTTGTACAAGGAACGAGGGTGGGATTCTCACTTTAAGGAGATAAAATCTAGGGTTTAATGAGCTTAGAGTCAACAATGGCTTAAAGAGAGGAAAATGAGAGAGAAAATTATGGAAAGAATGAAGAAAAGTGACCTAAAAGTGACTTTTTTAAGTGTTGATCGTTAATAGATTGCTCGAGCGAACATTTCACCGCTCGAGCGGTGAACGTAATCTCTTAGAAGTTTTGTAAGTCTACAATGAAAATATTGGGAGCCTCAAGCGGTCACCTTAAACACAGCTAGTCACACAGCACAGTTCCTATAATAGTCCCAGCACATCAACCTTATTTCCATATGTAACCATTTAAGTACATGCTTTCATTTAGTCTCTTACATTAATATTTCATATACTTAAGTTTGCAATGTAAATAAGAAAATACCTCCCATTTGGATTTAAAGAAAAATACAAAAAAAAAAATTCAAAATCCAATTAAACCAAAAAGTGACTTTCCCAATTTTAGTACAAAAATAAATTTTCGACTGAAATTTTTAAGTTTGATGTTGAAGTAAAGTGATTAATACCTTGTAGAAAAATTTCATAAAATCAAATTAGACTATTTAATGTATAAGGAACAATTACCGCCAAATATTATTTTCAAAATCGTAAATTTTGAAAACTCCAATTTTTACACTTAGAAAATATTTTTTGTAAGGGTCAACACAATCCATAAAATACAATAAATATAATAATCAGGATTCAATTGATCAAATGCCCAAATAATAGGACTTATTAGAATTATGGACTAATTAAGATACAAGCCTAATAAATTCCCTAAAATTAAAAAAGCATGCAAAATAAGGCCTCATTTGGAGAGTTTGAATTTTAGCCTAAAAAAAAAAAGTCACTAAATTTAAAAAAAAAAAAAAATCAGCGAACTAAAAAATAAAATAAAATAAAATACTCATTTTTCTTTATATTTTTTGCATATTTTTTAGTAAAAAATCAAAAAATCATCTCAAATATTTTTCCCTCTCATATTTTAGCAAAAAAATAAAAAATTATTAAAATAATATATTCCCAAACTAGGTGTGTTGGGTTTTTTCCCTCTTAAACAAAATATTACAAAAATGGATCGGTAGTTGGGATTGACATCAATTTAAAATTAGATTGAAAAAAAAAATGCTTTCATTTGTTACTGTTAGATAATCTTCATTGTATTTGAAGAATAGATTAAGGAAGAAAAAAGTCTGTTTGATTACTTAAATCAAAACAGAATATAGAAAAACAAATTCTTATTTTGTTACAAAAACAAAACAGAATCTAAAAAATAAAATAAAAAAAACAACATAAAAAATGAAACTAGAAATGAAAATTATAAACAAACTACTTACAGTATTACTTTTTGCACATTCAATCAATTCCAGTGTTCAACACTGTCTCCTTAAAACAGATTTGTCCTCTCTATGGTGCTTTCAGAATGTGGACATCTATCTCCCAGGATAAAATAATTAACAACAATTAGTAGCAGCACTACAAACTAAATGTCCAGTGAATACACTTTGTGTTTATACTATTTCTCACAAAAAAATAAAATGTAGCAAAATGCAGGAAGCAGAAGCAGAAGGAATAACATAAATTGATTTAAAAACCCAACGGAGGGCTAGTTTATTTATACGAGAATTGGTGGCTATTCAGGATAGATTTGAACAGGCAAAGAATCTATTCAGAACAGACTTGAACAGACAAAGAACTTGTTCAGGTTAGAGGGAAAAAGTTGAAAAGGTGCAATGGACTAAAATGCCAACGTTCAGAAACATTGGGGTCAATTTGGAATTTATTTTGAATTTCAAACTGAAATTCAAATTCCAATCGGTAAGAATTTAATTTTAGAAAAAATAAAATTCAAATGTTTTTGGCCTAAAAAGATAAGTATTGGACTAAACAAGCCCAACCCAACCTCGCAACATGCACCCGTGCCCAAGCCCAGCCAGCTCGATTGGATGGCGGCACATGCGTGTTTATTTTGGGTCCAATGGGTCTAGCCCATTTTGCCCATAACCTCCCCATTTTCAAAACTTGAGTGCCCCATGGGGCCTACCCCAAGGTCCAATCCCAATGCTTATAAACCCATACAATGTTAGCCTAGCCAACCAATGTAGGGCAAGCTTTCCTTCCTTCAATTTGGGAAATCCACCAAAACACCATTTTCATAGAGCTTACTTTGGCAACAATTTTTCATTCAATTGATAATGATTCTGAATAACCAAATATACTACGTGAATCACAACGCGGCATATA